TGTTTCACTGGAATCTAAGCCAGCCCTACTTGTGCAGGTGTTGATTTGCAACAGGAAGAGATTAATAATAGGTTTGACAGAGGACCCAAGAATGTCACCCATTTCTTGGAAAGAAAACTTAAATACCCTCAGTGAAAGCCATTGTCTCTACTTGCACCACTCATCCTCCAGACTCTACTGCAGTTTAATGTTTCACTGTAGATTTTAGGGAAGATTGCCAAGGTGGTTCACTCAGGTCAGGAAAGATTTACATCTCTTCTGGATGGGAGAAAAATTCATCTGCAAAACCACTATGAAATACTACTCAGATTGAACACTCCATCTACCTCCAAGGGGAAGAAGGTCATTTCTAACAGTTAAAAAAAGTGAATCTGGTCTGGAGAACCACCCTATTCACACTGTACTATAAAACACAGGTTGCGAACAGCCTGGCACATTGACACTGCTCTGCAGAGGTTAAGTCAGGCTGCAGTGACCCCTGCTAATAAAAGCTGCAGGTGAAGCTTGTACCTAGACTTCAGGTCACAACCTACCTGCTCCCCTCCCATGTTAACCAACAGCTCCGTGCCATCAGGACTGAAGGTGACATATGTGGCTACTAGAACTCTCAGGCGATTGTTGTAGTCAGGTAGTTTCACTGGAAGATGCCCTGAAGAGAAGAAAGCCCCAGCATAAGTTACTTTAAAACTTGTAACCATCAATAGCCTGCTTCACCCTGGCCATTATGGTTTACGGGAGACTGCTGGGACACACATGAAATGCAGTCACATTCTAAGCCATTTTTATACTGTCATGGAGCCTGGGATGACTTCCCAGTTCCTGAAGCGCTCCAAGCCAGTGGTGCTCAATGTTTTCACCATGCAGGCCCACCAGGATCGAGCCTCACCCTCTGCCCTTGCCTACCAGGATCAAGCCCTGTGGAAAGCCCTGCCAACGGGATGACATGGCACTGGGGACTGGATCTGGCCCGTGTCAGGAAACTTGTTCTCAAACATGCACAACTGTCTTTTCATGTCTTTTTAAAGCCTCTTTGGCAGGGCTATGCTTGTGTGTGGAGGAACCAGACCTCCAAAGACTCATGTTTGCAGGTCAGCTCAAACCCAAAAACAGTAGAACATGATTTCAGCAAAAAAACCACCAAAACCGGGGCTTCATGGCACTCACTATAATTGCAGAACTGACCAATTTGTGGATGGGTCTGTATGAATACCTCATTATCAACACTCCAGTGTGTCCCTGTTAGACTCACTGGGGCATAGCCTAACACTGTCTTCCCGACTATGCAGTGTTGAAGGGCCAAAGACAGACAGAGATCCCATAGTGGGACTTTAGAAAAAAAAGCTCTTTTTAGAGAAGCCTCTCTCTAGTCTGGCTAGGAATATTCAGTCTGTGAGCAGAGCAGTTCTAACATGCACATATTAAATGCTTTCAAACGTACTGAGTGATGAGCAGAGATGAAGGAAGCCATGCTGACAGCCCCAGAAACAAAAGCCCTGCTTCTCCACAGGATAGGGAGAGCACAAGGGTGTTGTGCTACAAGTATTTCAAGCAGGGTCCTGGCAGGGCTCTCTCTAGAGGAGGGTTTAAAGCAGGGGTGGGCAAAATGCGGCTTACAGGCTGGATGCAGCCCACCAGGCCATTCTATCTGACCTGCGGGGCCCCTAAAAAATTTAGAAAATGAATAATTTATCTGCCCCGGGCTGCCTGTCATGCAGCCCTCGATGGCTTGCCAAAAAATCAGTAAGCAGCCCTCCACCCAAAATAATTGCCTGCCTCTGGTTTAAAGTCTACAGCTTATTCAATCCTTGATTCTCCAAGGATGCTCCAACAGGGTGCCAACTAAGCTGTGGCAGAAGAGCAAGAGCAGCTCATTCATTACAGCTAGTTCAGTATCCAGCAGTAATAAAAGATCATTAACTTTCCACATTGGGTATGAATTTAGAGCCTAAAAGACAAGACAGGAGGAGTATCTGGTCCTTCCCCATGTTCATTCATTTGCATGTCATAGCTTAAGAGCCAGTGCTACCTGGAGCTACATGCCACAGGATGTCCGTTCTGTCAAGCAGAGACTGCCTGGCTGGCATTGCATACACGCTGCACAACACACTAGGAACCTAGACCCTGACTACAGCTCTTAGGCAGCAGCCCAAAACAGGCATGTTGGAGCAGCAGCAATACCTGCTACGTAGTACTGGGCCGCACCGTCAGGGAGGGGTTTCTGCCGATCACAGAATGTGTGCACTCCGGCCGAGGGACTCTGCTTCATGCTTTTTCTGACCAGAAAGAAGAGAAGTATGTTATAATGATAAAACATACAACTGCCAGGCTTCACCCTGTCTGGAGAGAGACTTCATTCACTCATAAGGGCATGGTCATAGGTTAAACACTTGTGCAACTGCAAACCTGTCCCAAGCAACCACAAGAGTGCCAGGAAGTTGCACTTGCCTGTGTCTAAAGGATGTTGGGAGGGAAGAAAACTTAGTACCATTGCACAGCCGAGATGGATCATCACCAGCTCCTCTTGCTGCCCCCTTCCCACTATGCAAAGCCTCTTTCAGATCTTGTGTTACTCACTTCTCTGTCAAGAAGGTCCTATAAGTGATGGTCACCATTACCTGTGGTTGTGGATCATGCGTATGTCATACAGCCGCACGAAGGGCCCACTGGCGCCCACCGCTAGGTAATTGTTATCCTGGGGGTTGACAGTGAGGCATTTGGCCTCCACCAGCTGCCCACAGTATTCAGTTAGGTCTATCAGTACTTCAGAGCGTTTGCTGTTCTCTCGCAAATCATACTGCCTACAAAAAGTAAGAGACAGATTTAAGTAACCCATGTCGGTAGTAGAGAACCATGGCAGTAGCAGTATGAAGCTTCTCTCCATGCAGAGAGAGAGAGAGAGAGAGAGAGAGAGAGAGAGAGAAGAATTCGGACAACACGATCTTATTACTGCTAGACAGTAGGCTAGTTTTTATAAACGGTCTGTATCATGTGCAAAGAGGATGAGAGAAGGGACATCTCGTATCCCAAGGTATGGGACACCCGATTTAATGCACTAACCCTCAACATCTGGATAACTATCATTCTTAACAAGTCTATTTCGCATGGGGATTTTAGTTAGCGCCAAAAGAAACACTAAATCTTGATCTCGTGTGCATCAGATCCAGCATGAACCCTGGAACAGATTCTCCGAGGGCACTATCTTTAGTCATTTTAGAGTCTCTTTGATGATTCAAGAGCACAAGTCACACAGGACATGCATCTCACCTTCCATTTTTTGCATTTATGTGATAATATCCTTTACTTAAGTTGAACTGCTGTTATTTTTGTCAAAAGTGATTAAAATCAAGTTCTTTCACATAGGGACCGTCTCCTACTAGATCTATGTATAACACCAAGCATGATGGAGCCGTGGTCTGATATTGCTATGATGTTTAGAAGCCAGTAAGAATTAAATAAGGTCAAAAGCAGAAATAAGAATCAGTAATTGATGGGTGATCCAGTGTTTTCCTTCATCATTTAACTGAACTGCCAAGCCAGCAGGAGGGGGCAAGGATGTAGGAGAGCTAAAGGTATCAGTGACTGTTCAAACAGGTCTTTCCCAACACCAAGAGATGTACCCTGAGATGACCAAAAGCTATTTACCTGATCAACCCATCCTCTGCTGCACTCCAGAACGTATTTGGCCACATGGGAGCCGTGGCAATGCGCTTCACCCTGTTGGTGTGGTCACCAAACATATGGATGGTTTCCTTGACAGTCAAGTCATGGACGTGCACTTTGGAGTCTGCAGCTCCCGTAATGAGGATCCGATCACCCGAATGCGGCAAAAACTGTGGAAAGCAGATTGGTCATTCAGACCAGGAAGCGCTTTGGACTCTTCACACACTGCCCTCCCTCTGGCAGAGAAGGAGGGACACACAATCACAAGACAAAGCATCCTTCACAGTGACCCAGTCTCAGCTGGCAACTGCTGCAGCTCCCTTTACAACAAGCTGCTGCAGCCAGAGTCACCTCCTGAAACAATGCTGAGATCACAATACGCAACAGTGCAAGATGACAGGAGCGCCCGTCTGTGCAAGTCAAAAGCTTTTTTGGTGGCAGATTATTCTTATTTGCAAGAGGCAGAGCAACTCTTACCATGTCAGAAAACCCAAGACTGAAAATCTAGAGAGAGGGTTTTGCATTCTCTAATAAGCCATATGCACATGCAGCTCCAGCTATTGCTGCTTGCCCTCAGCCTGACAGCAGTGACCAGGCAAATGGAGCTTTTCTTTCTATTAAGGAGGATGTTACTAAATTGAGAGCAAGTCTGTTTTCAAAATTTCAGTCAGTTAAGTCCCATTTCACAGGAAGATGCAGGCCAGTCAGACCAGTGGGCAGCTATCCAAGCTACAAAGGCTTTCACTCACCTTGACAGAAAAGATGTTTGCAGTATGTCCTGTGTGCATGGAAAGAAGTTTCTTGTGATGCAGTGGATCCCAGACAATGGTGTGCTGGTCATCAGAGCCAGAGGCCAGCAAGCTGTAAAATCAAGAGGAGAGCACTACATATACTGCTTCACTCCTGGCTGCATTTAACTTCTCATCCACTCCTCCTGCAGGTTAATCTATTCACAACTAGGACTCAGGATGTATTGCAGCAGCTCTCAGACAAATTCAGTGATTTGCAGGTTGCTTTCTAGGTAGGGGAGAGGGGGTACCTCAGGGAGAAGATGCTGCAAGTAGGAGAACACATCTCCATCAGCAGAAGATGCACAGGATGAGAGAACATCAGGTGGCGATCCCTGCAGCTGTCAGGACCACAGACCAAGAACTGCTGCCCTGAAGCCAAATGTCTCCCTCAGGTACATGACATTCCTGTGAGCTAAGTGGATTTGGGTGGACAGTGAGCAGAATGTGTCCCTGGGCTACCTAGAATGTCTTTCTTCCACTTGGTTATTTTCCATGTGGGGAAACTATACACGGATGATAATGAAAAGAAGGGAGTTATTACGTGGATGGAGTGAATACTGCATCCATGTAATGTGATCCCCCCAGAGGAGTACTCTGAGCACAGAGAAGGGAAAAAATCTGCCATTCTAGTCCCAAATCAGAAGGATACAGCCAGCAGAGACCCACTGGGCCCTGACACCAGCTTAGTAGCATCCTGGCCCTCCAGGACAGGACCTTACACTTGTCATCAAGCCTAGTTCTCTTCTACACTCACAATCAGGTCATTTCCAGTGACCTCCAGGTCCAACCAACAAGATAAAGAGCCTCTTCTTGAAACCTGGACTCTGCTACAGTTCAAAAGCTTCAGCTCAAGCCCTCATTTATTTTACTGGGAATAGAAAGCAATTGCTTATACAATGCGCAGCCTGCTTTTGAGAAAGTCTGGGTTAGCTGCGTCACACCCGAAGCCCAGAGCATACTTACTCTCCTTTTTCATTCCACTCCAGGCAGTTAACGCACCCACCGTGACCCTGAGCAAAGAAAGGAAGAGAACATTACACAAACTGCAGATTTCTCAAATAGGACTGTTCCAAGACAAGGGCACAGCAAGCTCCCCACACAACTCACTCTCATACAAGCAGCTTTTAATTTCAGCTCCACAGAGACACCCACCCACACCAGACAGGCACTTCCAGGAAAGAAAGGTATACTGTAACAGCTGGAGGGGGGAAGAGGAAGGACATTTAGTGCTGAACAAAATGACAGCTCAGTCTCAGAGGTAAAATCCTGCTGTGCACAAGGAAAGGTGACCGTTTCCAAAGCTCTTGGACAAGCTGAGATCACACGCACAGATCCTCAGGGCAGTAGAGGAAAATGCACTTTCAACACCTGTGAGAAGCATCTTGCTGTTGGGTGATCATCACTTAACTTTTTGTCCTATTCAACAAAGCCTATTAACAGGAAAGGCTGGAGAGTGCCGTCAGTAATCTGGGGTGGGGATTGGGCTGAGGGGAGAACGGAGAAAATTAAAATTCCACCAATGTGGAAACTCACTCCTTGAGATCTTTAACAAGTTTTAGGAGCTTTAGATTGCAATGGGACAATTCATTCATCTGCTTCTAGAAACACTGCTACAGTTCTAAATGTCATGCAGTTTGACTATCTGATTTCTTGTCAACTAGGAGATAAGAGATTTCCCTATAGATTGTCAGTCACAGCAAAGATTAGCTGACAAGCCCTGGTCAAGACAATGTGCTATAGGTGTATTAGCAGAAAAACCTGCACGTGGAAAAGCTAGCAGAAACTTACAGCACTATGCTCAGTGCACCTTGAACAAACTGGTGTGTCTCCACATACACATAGAAACACATGAGGGTGTGAAGGGACCTCAGGAGGTCACATCCAGTCCAACCCCTGCTCCAAGTAGGACCAGCCCTGACTACATCATCCCAGCCAAGGCTTTGTCTAGCCAGGTCTTAAACACCTCCAAGAATGGAGACTTCACAACCTCTCTAGGTAACCTGTTCCAGTGCTTTCCTACCCTCCTCATGAGAAAGTTTTTCCCCAATATCTAACCTCAACTTCCCTTGCTGTAACTTGAGCCTATTGCTGCTTGTCCTGTCATCTGCCCCCACTGAGAACAGTCCAGCTCTATCCTCTTTGCAACCCCCCTGCAGGGAGTGGAAGGCTGCTATCAAATCCTACCTCAGTCCTTTATTTTCTAAACTAAATAAGCCCAGGTCCCTCAGTTTCTCCTCACAAGTCATGTGCCCCAGCCCCTGAACCATTTTTGTTGCCCTGCACTGGACTCTCTCCAATGTGTCCACATCCCTTCTGCAGTGGGGGGCCCAAAACTGGACACAGGACTCCAGATGTGCTAAACAGAGGGGAAGAATAACTTCCCTCTATCTGCTGGCAATGCTCCTACTAAAGTGGCCCAGTATGCCATTAGCCTTCTTCACAACCAGGTCACACTGTTGGCTCATATTCAGGTTATTGTCCACTGTAACCCCCAGGTCCTTTTCTACAGAGCTACTGTTTAGCCAGTTGGTCCCTGGCCTGTACCGGTGCATGGGATTATTACATCTTAAGTGCAGGACTTTGCACTTGTCCTTATTGAACCTCATGAGATTTCTTTTGGTGCAATCCTCCAATTTGTCACGGTCTCTCTGGATCCTGAAGTGTCCTCCAGGACACTTCCTACTCCCAAAAAGTTTGTTCCGAATGTTCTGTGCATAGATTCAAGTAGACCCAGAAGGCAGGTTTGTTTCTTTTTGGCATTTCCCACTTACCTGTAACTCTCCTTCTAGGCCCAAACGTCGGATGAAGGGGTCGGTGACATGGTAATGTCGCTCAAAGCCCAATGCACCTTTTTCCTATATGTGGAAAAAACAAACCCACATATTGCACTTAGTTCAGCAAACACAGAACCCTTCTTACCCTTAACACAGATGTCAATTGTAAAATACACTCAGACACCTTCCCAGTGCCTCAAACTGTTCCCAGTACCGGCTGGATGCCTTTCCTCTGCTAAGCCCACATCTCTCTCAAACTAAAGAAGGCCTCATATTGTATTCCTTAGTTCAGGAGTAAAAAAGGGCAAGGGGGTGGGGGGAAATCAATCATAATTTTGTCAAAAACTAAACAACACAATCCCAACTGCCAGGTTCAAGTCTGGCAACCAACACAAGAAAGAAAAGAAAAAAGTCAGGGGCATGCACATCATGCTTCTAGCCAAAAAAAGTTTGCAGAAGGAAGCCCCATCTTGGGTAAGTACAGGCTAAAAGGTAGAAGCCTCAAGTCACAGCTGGAGGTTCACTCCAAATACTAGATTAAAAGCTGCTGGATGGAAAACCTACTATGGCCAGAGGTTGTGCGAGTCTAACAAAGCAACAAAGGGCGACTGCATTACGACAAAAATCAGCTCTTGCGTTTTCACTATTCCTAGGCCAATCTCAGTATTTCTTTGGAGCACAGCAACTAGGGAGGAGATTGTTGTGCCAGTGAACTGGACCACCTCCTTGGGAACCAAGGCATGTTTTTTATAGATAGGAATGGAGCAGAAGCATACAGCTGCAGTGCAACAAGCCTGGGGTGCACCACAGGAGAGAGAACAGCAGCCAGAGAGCTGTGGCGGTATCCCTGAAGGTGAAGAAAAGTAAGATAGTTGTTTTTCCCTCAAGAGATTCCCAGATACATGAGTAGATGGCCAGGACGGAGGAGGAAGGCTCATGGCGGAAGCAAAGAAAGGTTGGAACATCTAGTAGTTAGACTACAAACCTAGAAGCTAGGACCTATGTCTGCTCACCATCATGCGTTTAGCCAGTGGAAAGCCAGGATTTCTACACACCCATTTCCCCCTGCGTACAACGAGATGGCACCTACTCCCAGAACCCAGAGGTCTTTGTTGAGATACCTGCAACAGATCATTTGAAAATGCCACCCAGTAGAAGGATGTGGACAGAGGAGCAGGTGCACCAAATCATAGTATAGTGGACCAGAAGCTGGTTTCTGAACACTGACAGCTATTTTTCCAGCTGCTAGAGCCAAATTTGAAGCAATTAAAATCATTTTCCTTGCAAGTTGCAACATTTTACACATGTTCCTGAATAGCACAGATAAACCCCGCTTCCTATACCGCACATGAGGTCCTGTAGTACAGATGCCTCTCTTATTATTGTGGGGTAAGAGTACTGGCACCCCCATTCTGCATAGGGGCAGATGCAGATCAAAAGCATTTGCTTAAGGTCACATATGAAGCCTGATGTAGAGCAAAGAACTGAAGCCAGCTCAGAGTCCCAGGCTCATGCCCTAACCACTAACCACTGAATAAGGGAGGCACAGAAAGGTTAAGCTACAGGCTTTTAGCCTCTGAGTTATTGGGAATAAAATGCTGTACTGGGAATAAATGCCAGATCCCATTTCCCTGCTCTAGCCACTAGCTTACACTCCACTCCTACAAATGCTATGAGCAAAGTTGTAAAAAATTTAAGGCCTCAAGCACTAGGAAATGACTGCATGTTGTATCAGCTGTTGTTATTCCTTTCAAGTTAATGGACATTTCATTAGTGCAGCTATCAGGACAACAGGAAGTTTCCCCCTTAGATTAAAAAAGTAAAAGAAAAAAAGAAAAAAAACATGCGAAGCTGGCTCTGCTGTGACTAGCTGATCTCTTGGGAACACACATAGGTTTATGGAGGGTAAAAGATGACAGAACAACCATTGAGAGGACCTGTTAACCCAAATGACAGGAGTTTTGAAGCAGCAAGACTCTCTCCAACACTGGATTAAAAATCTGGCAATCTTGTGGGTTTTAAAACTTCACAATTCAGTTTTTGCCCTGCTGGAATACATTCCCTTTCTACCACACTTTGCCCAGCTCTTAAGGAAATGCAAAGATGTCACAGAATCAAAGAAAATTAGGGTTGGAAGGGATCTCAGGAGGTCCAACTCCCTGGTCAAAGCAGGACCATCCCAGCCAAAGCTCTGTCCAGCCAGGTCTTAAAAGCCTCTAAGGATGGAGACCCCACCACCTCTCTGGGTAACCTGTTCTAGTGCTTTACTACCCTCCGCATGAGAGTTTTCCCTGATATCTAACCTCAACTTCCCTTGCTGCAACTTGAGCCCATTGTTCCTTGTTCTGCCGTCTGCCCCCACTGAGAACAGCCCAGCTCCATCCTCTTTGCAACCCCCTGCAGGGAGTTGAAGGCTGCTATTCAATCCCCCTCGGTCTTCTTTTCCGCAAACTAAATAAGTCCAGTTCCCTCAGTCTCTCCTCACAAGTCATGTGCATCAGCCCTTGAAACATTTCCACTGCCCTCCACTGGACTCTCTCCAACTTGTCCACATCCTTTCTGTCCTGGGGGGGCCCCAAAACTGGACACAGGACTCCAGATGTGGCATCACCAGTGCTGAATAGAGGGGAAGAATCATTCCCTTGATCTGCTGATATTTACTCTATGTCCTGCACTTAGACTGTAGGACTTCTTATACAGCTTGTCACTACAGTATCCAAGTGCCTGGCAAAAAAACTAGCATCACGATCATCAGGCATGTGCAGTTCTCTCCAAGGATAAATTATGTATTTTATAATATACATTATGCTCCTTTCTTCTGCTAATAGAGGGATGAAGAAGCACACCCTGCACTTGGAGCAGAAAATAGATCTGTGGTAGCTTGCTCCACATACTTGAATCCGTTCCGGAGAAAGCATCCACCTCCAGCACAAATAGGATTTACACTTGCAATACAGTCCCACTGTGGTGGTAGACCAGAAATGTTCTGGGAAGAGCTCATCCCAGAGCTTCAGACAATCTCTCAAGTCTCCTGAGCCCATAGCATCCAATACGATACTTTACTATGGAGTCTGGAGAGCACAGCACACACCCAGACATACTTCAAGGGGGTTGTGATATAGCACTGACAACCAAGTACTGGTACATTGCCCAAGATAGGGAGACAGCAGCGACGAGAAACTCAACAAGCCAGAGTATGTTGCAGTTCCCATTCAGGTGACTGCAAGAGAGGCACAATATTGGCTTTATTATAATCTTCTGTGTTCCACCCCGCTGGGCTCCATGCAGTCACAAGTTAAAGAGCAGAAGTTTAAACAGCATACTGAATCTCCCAGATCAATGGCAATGGGTGACTTCGAATATAAATACTAAGAGCAGGTTTGGATACTTAAGTCTCCTCTGTCCAACAAAACCATTGAGGAAATCTGAGATGGCAAAATGGAACTGTCCCCATGGAGGCTTCTGCCATCACACCCTGATTAACTTCTCCTTTTGCAAGAGTCACTGAAAGGATTTAATTAATCATAAGGCAAAGAACTTGGTACGTTTCATCCAAATGTGGCAGCTCCATCAGTACAGTGCCCTTAACGCCTAGTCTGGAGGTAGTTCAGTAGCTGTCCTGAAGACACACAGCCCCTAATTAGCCTACAGCCCAACCTCCTGCTGTTTTCAGGGAAATTTCCAGGCCATTTTTAACCCAATGTAGTCTGAGAGCTAACAAAACCACAGCACAAGGGCACATGGCAGATATCTGTTTTGTGAAGACTAAGCTGCACTAGGTTGCCTGTAGAACCTGTAGCCTGAACATTGAACTTGCTCCCCACACTTGAACCCACCCACCACAATCAAGTTTTCCGGCTAACGCATACCTTGATTTGCCGGTGGATGAGGTCTCTGGTAATGTTTGCTTTCGCCATCTTCTCACAATGGGGCAGGCGGAAGGAAGTTATGGGAAGAGCTGCTGTGCATCCAAGCATTCCAACAGAGCAGAGATTCTCAGTAAAGACATTTAATTACCTAGAGGGGAAGGAAAAAACCCAAACAATGTACCAAGTCAGTTATACCCAGGACTTATCTACTAACTAATGGCAAGACTAAGTTCCCCCTGCAAAAGGAATGGCTAAGCCTCACACAAGACTCCTTCCAGAAACTCAGGAGCGGGACACATGACCGAGAAGGGCGTTAAGAGAAGATCAGTGCCAGGAGGACATCTCCAGATGAGGACCAAGCACAACAGGAATAGACCTGTAGCAATGGGTCTACACAGAGCATCTCTATTTCCATGGGTACCTGTGGGGAGCAGAAACCTCACGTAACAGACTTTCTACCGTATTTATAAATCTTGGGAGCTGACGGGGCGCTGGAGGGAAGGGACAGAACAATAAAGATACTCAGCCAATTTCACAGGTCTACTTTCTGTCCTCCCGTGCAGGGCAGAGTCTCAGTTAAAGGAAATTTTTTTAAAAAGAGTTGGGGGGGGGAGTGAGAGGAGAGACAGACTAGAAGAGTGCAAGTGTTCCTTAGATGTGATAAAAGCCAGTTTAGTGATCAGACAGCGCTGCCATCCTGCCAGCTGAGCCGAGCAATGGGAAATGGCAACTTTTTGAATGCAAAGAGCAATTAAAATTTTCCCAGTTGTTAAGCTAAGTCAACCCCCTGAAAATTAACCACGTTCATTTAAAAATCAGAAGTTGCTTAGAGCTTTGACGTTTTCAAGTCCTCCCTCTCCGCATTCGAGCTGTGAAATTTTCTTGCGTCTCAAGACCGTTTCCAGCAAGAGGTCCGGCTGATGAAGAATAAGCAAGACGGCAGTTCCCAAGGAGGTTAACCCCATGCACGCACTGAGGATCATTCCTGCCACCGTTTCAAACAACTAAACCCCGTTTTGAAAAATCCTGTTTTTAAAACCCACCCTGTGCTACGCAAGGCACTAGAACCAATTGCTGAAGCTACTTTTTCCAAGAGTTCACGAGTGGAGCCGGTCAGGAGTTTTCCAACAAAACAGCTTTTCATTGGGAAGCGCTGATCCGTGGAAACCAGCACGCTGCACAAACGTATCAGCCCCAACTCACTGTTGGGTTTCGGTCGAAGGTTTGACCAAGCTGTCAAAGCTTTTTCCAAGTGTGCGTGGCTCCGGGAAAGACGTATCATGCAGGCCCTCCCAAGACCCAAGGGTTCCCAGGTTGCAGCTGCGGAGCTCAGAGAGCATGGCGGTATCGAACAATCGAACTCTAAATAGTCTTCCAGCTTCACGGCAAGTCTACAAAAAACGAGAATGCCGGCTTATGCCTTGGAGCCGGGACTCAATTAAATAATACATCTTAATCATCTCAAACCAACTTTTTGGATGTTCCTTTCTGCAGGAACTTTAGAAACAACATCAACTTTTTTTTTAAAGGGAATAAACTGATCAAAATTTCCCACAGAATGGGAACTCTGACTTGTTTAATCATGAGGACTAGCCCAACTTGCGCTTGCCATACCACTCCAAATAATAAGAGCAACATTAAAGATCCTATGTAAACCTACAGAAGTCAGGGATTGCGAAGCAGTGATGGAAAGTAAGCTAATATTTTCAGTCATGAACAAAAACCCACAGTCTATGTCTCTGGCTTGTACATCATCGAGGAGAGAGAAACAAGGTGGTAAAGTAGCACAGCATTTCACCTCCAGAGACCTAGAAACAACTCCTAGCACGGATTACAAGGGACAATGGGTTATTGTCTTCAACTCCCTCTTTGTACACGTCACAAGAACAAAGTTTGCTAAGCTCTGGATATCCAAAGCGAGGGCCTAAATAGCAGAAGATGAGATCAGGATCATAGGAAAGCAGTGCGAGACAGAAGCTTGCCCAGAACATCTGTCCTGCACCCAGGTACAGCTGGTACCATCGTGCTCCCTTTTTCACATGGGCTAAACCCACTCAGATTTAAGGATAAAGGCCCAAATTCATCCTTGTTCAAACTCCAAAGACCACAACAGTAGGCTAAACGCACCTCTTGTACACAGCTTGTATTCATCAAGTTGGAAGAAGTGCACAAACCCTACCCTCCGTGACACTAGCAGAATGCAATCAGCTTTGGCGGTGGCAACACCAAGGTCAGTACATAAGTCAGGAGTCTCTCTCCCTAAGCTATGTCACCAGTCAATCCTACAGAACAAAATTACCCCTCTGGGCACCTACACTTATTGAACCAGTTAGCCACACACACAATTTATACCTGTAAAGTGTTACCAGAGAGCTGCCGTGTGCCCAAAAAATGATTATCCGTTCTTAAAATGAACTTAACATTACCCCCCGTCATGCTGAACCAGGCTCCCCATTCCTGGGTTCAATGTCAAAAGGCAGTGTTGCAAAGACATACAACTCAACATGATTTCATGCCAAGCCTTGGGCCAGATTATTAAACTACAAGGTTTTTGAGAGCTAGCCTCGGCTTACCCAGGCAATGGATCATTGGCATTGATTTATGCCTCTATGGAAACACATTCTTTAATGGTTAGAGCCCAGCAGCAACCAGCAATAAGACTGGCTCCTTCCACTCCAGATGTTTGCACGAAAGCAGCTACCAACCTAATGAGAAAGTCTGTTCTTGCTTCCCTTCCTATGCCCAACGCGGATCAGGCTGACTCAGCAACTTGGAGGCAAACACAGGACTGCTGCGGCTGCAGAAGTGCAGAGGGCCAGGCTGTCACTTGTGCCCAAGGCCAGCCGTAGGTAAATATGCCAGGGTGTAAAATCAGCTACTTCATCAGAGAAAGCATTCAAAAACATTGCTTCTAGTTAGTCACTTTTCTGAAGTGCCTGAATGAAGATAACAACCGGTAACCTGAAATAGGGGACTAGGCTTTTCTGATTTTTTTACGATTACCAGGTCGGAGGTGAGCTGTACCCGTGAGCTCTGCCCCAGGGTCTCTCCAAAACAAAATGCTTCTTCTACTTCACTTCACATTGCTGAGCTATAGCATGGCTCTTTGCATCGCACAGCGAGGATTATGAGACAAGAAAGGTCTTGTGTCCCAACTGTAAAGGGATACAAGTCTCTCCTCTGGCTAGAGGTTTCATTACTTTCACTTCATTATACGTGAAACTCCATGGTTCTCTATCCTTGGTAGGCGGAAACCTGGGACAGCAACCCCACTTACCCCACTCCGTGATTAAAATGACTCAAAATAACTCCTTCTAGACAGACATCTTCTGTTCCTTAGACACAAAAGGTTAATACCCCAGAAGATCTGTATTTCTGGGTCTTATCCAAACCTTATCACCACTTCTCTCAAAGCTTAGGCAAGACTAGTTGCTTCAGATAAATCCTGTTGAAACACTGCCTCTGACAGGCTGCCCTTCTACATCTTCTCTTCACCCACATCCCAAATGTACGCCAACCACTCGCCCTCCTCTTTCCTCTCCGGGACGAGACTTCTCAGTTTAGTAGCATTTTGGTTGTAGGAGCCCTAGCCGTAGAACAATACACGTGCAGTCACACAAGTAGACACCTCCCAACTGATAATGGACCCATTGTTCTTCTAAAGATCCCACTGAAGAAAATGCTTTTGTCTCTAGTCATCCCTTTAATTTCATTCTATATACTACCAAATAATATAATGGGGGGGGGGGGAAGGTTATGAATATTATAAATATATCTCAGATTGCCCTTGTATCACGCACAGGCCAATATACAGCCAAGCTGCCATCTGGCTACAAGACGCTCCAAATCCTGCCATTTGTTCGAAGTAGCCCGAGAAAGGCATTTACGTGCTCTCAAAAGAAAGCTCCGTTGACAAACCCTTCCTTTCTTTCCCTCTCCGCCACAATTTTGGACATCTTGAACTAAAGAAAGGCATGTTTGCTGATGGAACAGAGACAAGTCAGTTCTCCAGTATTTTTGTGAGCGTTCAGGATTTTGGCTAGCTTTTAGAATTAGTAATGCATTTTGGAGCTTCTCGGCTCATTTGGCAGTTCAGACAGCGCAAGTTTGCAGGGACCAGAAGGTTCTGTCATCAGTTATTAGTTCTTAAAACCAGATAAGAATCGCTCCTCTCCACGTGGGACAGCTCCTCGCAGAGGTACTGCCGCAGCTCCTCAAGCCAATGCTGGAGTCAGCTGTAACATCCCCCTGCTTTGTACTTCAGTAAGGCTACTTACATTAGTCAAATGAACTGGGGTATTTCTATTTAAGCAGGGAAAAACAAAGATGAGATGTCCCGAGACAAAGCAATCAAGCAGAAAAGCATGAGGGGAAGGAACTTAGCTTCACCCAGGAAGAATTTGGCGTGGATCCTGACTTCTGATTGCTGGTCTGGTTGAATTTTGGAAATCTCTGTGCATGACCACTTTTTCAGACTTCTTTCAAACTGTCCTTTGATTTCTTGAGCCTACGTCTGTCAGCACCGCTGGTGCTCAGAACGTAGCCCGCAAGTTCTTCCATCCTTTAGCTTTAATAGGACACATTTGAATCGAAACATAAATGAGGTGTCTGTGGTCTGACTGCCCAAATGGCCCACGGGTTTGAGATGAGGACTGAAAATCAAGACAAATTCTAATCTGAGGTTTCCCGCTATCTGTTGTCACAGGCAATCAACCTCTGCCTTCTTTCTGCCATACCCAACATGGGTGTACCTCCCTAAAACCCCACTTGGGTTAGGATTCAAAGGGTTTTGCCAACAAACAGCAATTAGAGGAGTTCACAACATTGCTGGAAAGACTGTGCTGACTGGGCCATCTTAATTTTAAAGTGTAGTAGCACTAAGTCTCAATTAATTTAGAAATAGACTCCAAAATAAAGTTTACCAGGCTTAAAAGCTTTACAAGTCTCCTAGAAAACAACACAAGGGCTCCTAAGTATCTCTGACCAAATGGCTACTGATTGCCTTGAAATTATTCAAATGTCAAACACCAGGTTCCCAGAAAGGGCCCCGACTTCCATTACCACCTAGGGAACATAACAGTCAATATGTTGTTTCTCTTGCAGCCAGTCTCTCAGCTCATGACTTCTATTCATATTCAGATATTGTGCCCTTATCAATCCAGGGCTTCTCCAGTCTTTAGCCTTGCAAGTTTTAAGCCACTCCCAGCTGGAACCTGTTTGAAGGCTAGCTGGTTTATTTTTTCTCATTTGATATGCCCCTCTGTGCCCTATAATCACATCTACAATAAAAGCTCTTTATCAGTGTACCCCAAGACAGCCTACAGGCGCAACGCCAAGCCGTGACCCAAGGTCTGCATGGTCAGGTTGGGTGAATTCAGATGGGACAGAGGCCTCCCAGGAAAACCCCAAGGTGCTCAAAAAAAGTATTCGTCCCTCCTGCACTTTGCATGGCATCTGACTGTCAGATCGGAAAGCAAGTACCAGTAGCATTCTCCCTTATTTTGTTAACTCAGGTTTCAGTTTCCCTGCCACTCCGGGAGAGAAAAGATCCTCCAGCTTCCCTAGGAAGATCCGTTATCTGATTTCCAGCGGTCAATACATCTGTAACTCCCCGTGCTGCAATCTCTTGGGATGAGAGGATTAAGTCACAATGGTACAAAGCAATCGAGGGTAAACTTTTACTACCGCTGCCAGTGCTCTAAGGGCCCCATACACGACTTCCTCTGGCTGCATGCAGGACTCAACTTATACTCTGCTAAGAACAAAAAACAGACTCAATCACACTTGAGCACATTCCCCATACAAGCCACAGAGTTATCCTCGTGCTCAACTCTATTCATTCGAAGCAAGTCACTGCCTCACAATACTCCACAAAGTCTGAATATACTGCAGATTGGGAGACGGGGCATCCTCATCTCCCATCCTTTAGCACCTTTTTTCCACATGGAAGAACCCATGAAACAGGATGCGCAGGACTAAGCTACCCGTGCTTAGCTGCTGGTTTACACTGCAGAGGGGGGTAGCGGACAGGCAAAGTCTAGGGAGATCGCCAACACTTTTGCAATGCATGGCCTCTTTATTTTTTCCAGTCAAGGTTAATAATCTGCAGAATTCAACAGGCTTTGGCCCTCCTTGGCTAACACCCAATACTGAAAGACAAGATGGCAACAAATTCCTGAAAAGTCATTCACTCCCGAAGCCCTGCACGATGGTGACAAGATGATCCCGTTGCCTGCGGAGCAGCCTGACCGTAGGGCTTAATCAACTCCAACTGCTCCCAGCACCGGAGAATCAGGCGGCTAGTCATAACATAACGGGTTCAGATCGGAGTTCGGGACGCATCAAAGTCCCCCGAGGTTTTCATACGAATAGCCGGTTCAGTCCGATCCACTGACTACCTTCCCTTGCTTTCCCAAGACGAGCGGCCTCCGCCTCTATGCTCCTACAGGATGCTCACACACAAGCACGGCTGGCACTTTTGCTCTCTGCACTTCGACTCCGGCGTCAAAAAAAAAAAAAGCTCTGCCCCCGTCGCACGAACCCACGCAGCGCGGCGGTCCCCCGGCCAGCCAACCCCGCCGGCACCTGTTTAAGGCTAAACTCAAGGTCACCAAAACCCGCACGCTCCCGAAACATCATTCACCCCCAGGGCGGGGGGGAATAAATCCCCATCACCGCCTCCCCGGACAGGTGCCCGGCCTGCCCCCTCCCAGCCGGGACACGAGAGCGTGACAGGAGCAGGGAGCACGCTGGCTGTTAAAAGAAAATTAAAAAATAAAGAAAAAAAAGAGAGCAATGGGGACATAAACTGTTTTTTTGGGGGGGGAACCTGGCAGGAAAAGGATGCTGCTGGGGGTGGGGGGTGGCTGACAGCCCCCAGCCCCCCACACAAGGGGGATGAGGCGGGAGCAGGGTACCAAGTGCCCCCCCCTTGCATGGGCGCCCCCCTGCATGGGCACCCCTCCCCCCCGTTGCATGGGCACCCCCCTGCATGGGCACCCCTCCCCCCTTGCATGGGCGCCCCCCGGCCTTGCCCCGGGGTCAGCCAGGCGGGGGGAG